TTTCTTGTAACTTTATACAAAAATTCTTAATAACCATAGGAATAAATAAAATAGAACTTCTAGTTTCTAAGATCTTTTAATAGTAAGTTCTTGATCTCATGTATTGATTTAAAAAAATAATTTTGTTAACCAACTATACAAATTTCTTATTAATAGTAACCATAGGGATGGATATATAGAATGAACTCCTAGTTGTCTATTAATGAATATGCCATAAGTTTACTTTTATCTGAATTTACAAACATTTACATGTAAGGATTACTTAAAAAAAAATTTTTTAAATAACTTATTTATATATATATATATATATATATAAATTTATAAATTTATTTATTGTTTTATGAATTATTAGGAATATTATACCAATTTTTATATATGTATATATTCAATGGGTAAAGTGAATAATTTAGTCATGATCAGGGAGCATAATTAATATTAATTGATTATTTTTATTATATCAATGAATTTGCAGGTAAAGAAAAAAAATTATTGAATTTGTATACAATATTAAAATCATTTATCAGGTTACTGATTTTTATGTGTGTGTATTATATTTAATAGGTAAAAGGAATAACTTGGTCAGTTATAAATTATAAACACATTTATTTGTGTATATTAATTATATTTAATGAGTAAAAGAATAACTTGATTGGTTATATTATATTTAATGGTTAAAAGGAATAACATGGTTAGTTATAATTATAAACACACTTATTTGTGTATATTAATTATATTTAATGGGTAAAAGAATAACTTGTTTGGTTATAATTATAATAAACATTATTTTTATTATTATTAAATAACTATTACAGAAAAAATTAATGTGTACATATATATATTAAAATTATCTATCAGGATAATATAATATATGTTAAATTGCAAAAATGTCATCTCATATTGTTTAGTTCCATATAATTCGGAAGTTTATGACCAGTCAATAAATCTCTTGCCATGATTTTCTCGTTTTTTCTCTTCCTTTAAAGATTGTTTATATTTATTAACAAAAGGATCTGCATAAATTTAGCCAATCAAATTTTCTTCTAAAGAAATTCCAGAACGTTTATCATTTATAAATTAGGAAATACCAAATTTAGCATATTCCCTGACTGTAATAGTAAATTGATCGACAATTCTCTCATTTATTCGCAGATTGTCAATTAATCGTTTGTCAAAATAATCACACTTCCCACCAGGGCGCAGCCAAAAAAATTTTTGAGTCAAATTTTTTCTAGAGAACATTAAAACATTATAAGTTGTATAAGTATTAAAAAAGACAAGCTTCCAACTTCAAGAATAGTTGTGTGGAGTTGATGAACTCAGTTTTTTGTAAAAAAAATGAAATAAAAATTTATTTCTCTAATAAAAGGTTCAACAACAAAAATAATATTTATTGTTATCAATAAAAAGATAACATGCAACAAACACAAATTTCAAGGAACAATGGTGGGTTTTTTGACGTTTCTTGACAAGATGTCTTACATGTTCAATGAAATGGGGTGCTTCAGCTTGATTCTCTTTTTGAAGAAAAGAGGCCACATAGAGATTGTATTGCTTCAAACGGATACTTATTTTTATTTTTCTATGTAATTCTCTTTTTGTTAATTCATATGTAAAATTCAAACCAATAAAATGTCATGGCAAGACTACGTTGTTAAACCAAAAAAAAAAAAATAATCACTTATGCACTCCATAGATTATGATAGCAATAGGCCAAAATATTATGACTTTGACATGCCGTAATATCGTAATGCTGTAAATATATTAAGACATCCATTTTAAAATTGTAATGTAATGTTGCTTGACGAAATGTTACCCAAAGTTGTGAAAAATGACAAAAGTAAAAGGCTAATAAAATATAAAAAGCTCACATAAATAAGTATTCCAAGGTCTTTTTTTTTATATTTTTCTTGAGTATCCCAATCTCTTCTTTGCTTCATCAGCTATTCCCATGGAGCAAAGTTCTTCTTTTGTTGAATGCAAATTCGGTCCCCACACACTCATTTACTACTAACTCAAACATTTCTTATATTAATTAATATTAATAATGTGATACATGATCGAGGTACATAAAGTCAATTAATTTTAGTTTATAATTATTATCAAATGGAAATTTTGCAATAATAAACTCATCCTTATCTTTATCTTTACCCTTATTGTAGTGATCAATGAAAATTTCATTAAGGATAACTTCTGGTCTTCACTTGAAAAAGCATAACTTCTGGTCCTCTCAGAGGAAAATAATTGATGATTAGCATTCTAATAAAACAATCCCTGTGATAAAATCATTATTTTCATTATTTGTTAATAAATTTTAAAAATAAAATAAAAATAGTGTCTTTATTTTTCTTTGTTTAAAGCGCCTTGTTAAAGCAACATTATAGTTAATGCCTTGACAATGTAAAAGGCCACATTTATTTGCTTTATTGAGCAAGTGAGCAAGATTAGGCAGGACTAACTAGTGTGTGTTAACAATTAGTGACGTAATTTGCTTTAGTGAGTGAACAAGGCTAGGACTAATATTGGTTAACTAGCGGGTGTGAATGAAGTATTGTCCAAAGGTTAATTGGGAATCCTGGTAGCATTATTGTAAAGTTGTTAAACAAGTTTCCAAGTTATTTTGTAAGTAAACCAAAGCGAGTTTGCAATCAGCCAATAAATGTAAATAAGGGTAAACGACTGAAATAAATTGATCACTAGTGAATAAAAGGAACTTTATAGCATTGCAAAAGGGCCATTTTTATTTAGTTACAGTTATATGGTACCATTAAGTGTGCTCACAAATTCGTTTAGGTGCAGTAATTGAGAACCAAAAGTAAATTCCTAAACTAATTAATTGACAAGCACCGAATTATTGTGAATTAACTGATAAAAGTTGAGCCATAATTGTTGATTAACCAAAATGATGCCTCGCAATTTAATGAGTCAAAAAATTGTAAAAATTTTATCATTATAATTTAGCTTTAGGAAACAAAATAATAAAAATGAATAAATTTATAGTGGAGATTAAATCAATTTTTTCTTTTACTATTGATACTAGAATTTAATGTTTATAAATTAATTAATATTGATAGTAATTCCATTTGATTAATAATGAAATTTTTATTCACTTTTGAAATCAAGATTATTTAACGAACTACCATTGCTTTTATAAATTTTTAAATCTTTTAGATTTATCAATCTCTTCATCTAATATTCTACTTGTATAATATGCATCTGGATATGATTTTTAGACTTGTTGTGAACCACCACCACCACAGTAGTAGTATTATTGCTATTATTATCATTATTATTTTTAATAGTTTCAATATATTTATTTTTGGCAAAACTTCAAGCTCTCTACTAATTAGTCTTTTTGATAGATCCATATCCCAATACCACTGCATCATTTGC